AGTAGATGGGGTCGAAGGATGCGCCGCATCGCCGGTGCATCGCCATTGCGGCTCGATGTGGAGCCCGATTTACTTCACGTCGACGTCGCCCATGCATCGCCCACGTCGTCAAGGCATCACTGGTGCATCGCCGATGCATCGGCGATGCGGCGCGATCCTCCGACCCCATCTACTCCGACTCCATCTGGGAGGCCTCTAAGGATACGTGCAGTGAGGCCGCGGAAACCAGGCTGGGGGCCGTTGCAAGGTGCGTGTTGCTCCGGAAGTAGGCCGCAGAGCGACAGGGTCCCCCACACCTGTGTGCAAAGGCTGAAGGAGCAGTGGCTCGATCGCACACGTAGCGCCCAGGTACGAGAAGCTCCAGGCAAGCAGGATGCCACACAATGCACAGCTACCGAAGACGTGGACAAATGGAGAACGGTGGCGGAGGCCGGTCCATGCCGATCCGATTAATCCAATCAGATGTTTCGTCTCGGATCGGATCGTCGGAATGTCGCATCGGTTCGTCGGAGCATCGGACAGGTCGATCTACGCGCGAGCAGGAGCTGCCAGCGTCAGCGCTGTTCGGAGGGGCAGGAGTAGGGAGCACGACGATTTGTGGCCCCTGCGTGGCCCCAGATCTGGCCGAAGTCGGCACGCTCCCCCGAAACGCCGACCGCGGCATTTCCACTCGATCAGCGCAAGAAAACGGGATCGTCTGCGCAGACACTGGCGCGTAAGTTGCTCGCGTCATTCCAGCAGCGAGCCGCGCTGGCAACTGCGGAAGCCGCCACGTAAGGTCGCCATGCCATCTTGCGCAAGACCCGTGTTTGATCGTCGCCAAATTAACAATCGAGCGAAGTTTCGGCTGGCGCTCATACATGCGAGGCGGAGATTTATCCATAGCCTCCTGCAGACCGAGAGACCTGCGAGAGTCCGCAGCTAAGCTCCAACCCCCTTCGCGCTGCGTTACTGCCCTGGCGCGGTGGCGGGATTTGCCGCAGGCAGCTATGCACATGTATATATAGATGTATAGAGAGAGGTGTACGTAAATGTGCGCGCGTTAGCCAGCGTGGACCCCAAACAGTCATTGATTCAAATGCGGATGTGTAAGCTCCCTGGTGCAACCATGTGGTGATGTACGGGCTTTGGTGCGAGCCGTGCGGTGCAAGCTATGCGGTGCAAGCTATATGGTGCAATCTGCGTGGCGCATTCTGCGTGGTGCACACTATGTGGTGCAAGCTACGCGGTGCAAGCTGTGTGGCATAAGCTGTGTGGTGCAAGCACTGTGGTGCAAGCACTGTGGTGCAAGCTATGGTGTGAAATCTGCGTGGTGCAAGCGATGTGGTGAAAGCTAGGTGGTGTAAGCTGCTATGTGGTGCGGCGACGGACGGGCACTGGGCCACCCGGCCCGCAGACTGGATCTTTATTTGGAAGAATGAGGCGGCGATGGACGGGAACGGTGCCGCCGGGCCAACAGTCGGACCCAGCTCCTTATAAGAAAAGTAAGAACCCCTGAGTACAAGTGCTGGGTGGGTATGCACATATACATATTTAGACGTACCATAAAATCGGATGCCCCCACCACCATTCATATGTGTTGCGTCCTCTGCCTCTCCCTATTCCTCTCAGTATTTGTTTAGTTCTCTTCGCATGGTGGTTGTCCCACATCTTCTTCGACATCGTCCCTCCCCCTCTCTCTCTCTTTTCTCTTTGTCTCTGTCTCTCTCCATTCCTGATTACCCGCAGCAGAAGGAATCCTTTGGTAATCCGCCACCATAGAAAGCCATTTCAAGCAAGCGACAACAGGAGCCCTTGCGCCACAAACGGAATATTTCCAGAAGCCGCCGCAAAAAGGAATCGTGTTGTAATTCGTTTGAGAAGGAAACCGTTTGCAATCGCCTCGGAGGACGGAGTCATCCTCTCGAGCAAGTAGATAGAATCAGTAATGGGAACAGGGGGAACCAATGACAATCATTGAACAACTGGTAGATCTAGTACACACGCAGCGAAAAAACAGTTCTTCAGGCTCCAGGGGAGGGGAGGACAATTATTGCAAATGTAATTGTTCAGGCCTGACGGTCGATAGGGCTCCTTCTGCGGTGGTTATGATATTCTGATATTTGGGGTTGTAGTATCTAGCTGCATTCACACTCTACCACAAAAGGAATCCTTTTGGGAAGTCGCCACACCAGGAATCCTTGCCTAACCCGTTACAGTCGGAATCCTTGTTTTGATGATCCATTTCGGAGTGAGTATTTTTCTAACGCGCCTCAAGAATTGTAGTCCGCCGCAACAAAAAAGTTCTGCAACACGACGCTCGGGCAATCCGTTGTGTAATCGTCTCACAAGTTACATGGGAAAGAGGAAAACTTGTATAGGCAAATTTTCAGGATGCCGAGCTGTGAAGGATCCCTTTGTGGTGGCGTCAATGTGGGTTTTTTTTGTGGGGTCTCTGCAGTCCGCCACAGAAGGAAACCGTTTTAGCAACTCGCAAAGAACATTAATTTGTTTGTATCCCGCCACAGTCGGAATCCTGTTGGGGGCGGCCTCAGAATCTTATGTTTAAACTTTATTGCACAATGAATTCTTCAGTCATCCGCCTGGGACGGTAGGATCTTGTTGTTGCAATAGTCGCGCAAGCACTGAGAAACGCATAACAACACGTAGAACACACATACAACACAAGGGGACATTGAGCAATTGGAAAGCTTTCCAGGTGAGGAACAGCAGAACCTGTAGGATTAAAGTGTAGCTGTCTGACAAACGGATGATTTTTTCGGCGGCCTTCAGTTGGGGTTGTAGCATTGCGGTGTTTGTCATCCGCGATAATGGGGATCCTGTTGTATCACGCCACAAAGGAATGTTTGACGCGTCGCGTGTCCCCACCAGCCCATCCAGAAACGATGCCCATGAAAGCTGACGGGGGGTGAGAGGACGAGACACGCATAGTCAAACAGCGAGGGAGGCTGGCCTGGACGGCGTGTTGAGGCCATTTCGGGGCCCGGGGGGGGGGGGCGACAAGGAGGAGAAGGAGGAGGAGGAAGAGGAGGAGGAGGAGGAAGGGAGGAGGCAAGGAGGAGGAGGAGAGGAGGAGGAGAGGAGGAGGAGGAGAGTAGGAGGACAGGAGGAGGAGGAGGAGGAGGAGGAGGAGGAGGAGGAGGAGGAGGAGGAGGAGGAGGAGGAGGAGGAGGAGGAGGAGGAGGAGGAGGAGGAGGAGGAGGAGGAGGAGGAGGAGGAGGAGGAGGAGGACGAGGAGGAGGAGGAGGAGGAGGAGGAGGAGGAGGAGGAAGGGGAGGGGAAGGAGGAGGAGGAGGCGGATGAGGAGGACGAGGGGGAGGATGAGAACGAGGAGGGGGAGGGGGAGGAGGCGGAGGAGGAGGAGGAGGAGGAGGAGGGAGAAAATGACGAGGCCGAAGGATATGGACGAACAGCAGGACGAGGAGAAAGAGGAGGAGAAGGAGAAGGAGGAGGAGAAACATAATACAGAGGATGAGGAGGAGGGGAAGGAGGAGGAGGAGGAGGAGGAGGAGGAGAAGGAGGAGAAGGAGGAGGAGGAAGAGGAGGAGGAGGGGGAGGAGGAGTGGGAGGAGGAGGAGGAGGAGGAGGAGGAGGAGGAGGAGGAGGAGGAGGAGGAGGAGGAGGAGGAGGAGGAGAAGGAGGCCGTAACCATTTTGGCTCAAGTCCGTAGCGTGGCCCAGGCGTCAGCAGCGGACGGAGACTTTCTGGCATTGGGGAGCGCCCAGAGGCGCACACGGCCCCAGCAGCTTTCCCCTGACATCACCAGTCAGGGCACACTCGGTATCCTACCGCCTTGCTCGTCCTCTTTTGCCGCCACAGTGTGTTGATGGCACCTTGGAAGGATGCGTCGCTTCAGTTTCTCTCCTCGCTCCAGGGGGCCGAGCCCTGGACATGTGGGCACTGTAGGACTGGAGGCAACTTCGCGACCAAGATGCAGTGCCGCCAGTGTCTCGCCCCTGCGCCGAGACACATCCAGGCGGCCATCATGCGTGCGTCCCGCTCCGCTCCGGTGCGGCGACCGTGGCAGACGACAAGCCCCTCAGCGGGGGGCAAGGCCAAGGGCAAGGGCAAGGAGAAGGGCGACAAGGGCAAGGATAAGGGCGTGGCTGGCCCCGCTCCTCGCGGCACTGCTGGCTCTGCTTGGGGCTACTTCGGGGCTGGCACAGACCTGCTCAAGTCGAAGTCAGCCGAGCAGCCCGACCCCATCGCGGTGCTCGACAAGTCGATCGGCATGCTGGAATCCCTCGCAGACCCCAGCCTCGTGTCCATCATCGAGGCCAAGCGGGCTGAGAGAGCGGCCCTTGTCGCTCAGAAGCGGGCAGGCAAGCCCCTGCACCTGCAGCTGCAGGCGCTGGAGGGCAAGATGGCAGCCGCGCAGCGCAAGCTCGCTCGCCAGCGGGATGAGGTCGTGCCCGAGCTCCAGCAGCGCCCGGCGGAGGCCCAGCGCATGCAGGAGGCGGCCAGCAAGGAGCTGAAACAGTTGCAGGAGGAGAAAGCTCAGCTGGCCAGGCGGGTAATCGCCGAGGAGCAGGCCCCAGCTGGGGCAGCGGGCCCTCGCGGCGGCGGGCCACACTGCGGGCAGGCGGTCATCAGCCAGCTCGTGGCCAACCTGGAGAAGCTGGTGGGAGACACCGAGGGAGACGGAGATGCGGTGCCCAAGCCGCTCGTGGAGTCTCTCCAGAGTCTGCTCAAGCTGGTCAAGGAGCTCCCTCAGGCCGCGGGGGCCCCCACGGCTGCTGCCGCCGCGCCTCCTGGGGGACCTGATGCAGCGGCGGCGGACGCCCCCCCAAGGGAGCCTGCTGCCCAGGCCGCGGCCGAAGGCGGCGGCGGATCCGTGGAGGAGCAGAAGCGCAAGAGGGACGAACTGCTGGACCGCTACCTCAGTGGGCTGCCCGAGGAAGAGCGAGCCGCCAAGCGGGCAGTGCTGGGCTCCTTCTACGACCACCTTGGCGAGGAGGCGCCCCCCCAGACGCCTCTTTGATGGGCCCGCGGGCCCGCCCATGCTCGACTGGACCGCCTTCGAGGACGGCCAGTTCTGGACGAGCGGGGGCTTCCACAAGGAGGAGCGGCACGGGGGCGGCCTCACTTGGGGCGGCGGGGGCGCCTACGCTGGCCAGGGCATGGGCCACTGCACCCCTGCGGCCATGGGCAGGCAGTCACCGCCCTTCGGACCCGCCGCCCCCCAGTCCGTCGGCCTCGAGGGCAGGCCGCAGCACAAGGGGGATGACCCAGTTGGGATGCCCCAGAGTCGCCGACGCGCTCGGCGAGGAGCACGACACGTCATCGCCGCCACCTTCAATGCCAACCTCTCCTGGGCTCGCGTCGAGGAGTTCTTGGAAGAGGAAATCGGCCAGCTCATCAAGGAGGGCGGCATCCCCATCCTAGCGGTGCAGGAGCACGCGAAGCCCGCCGAGTGGTTCCACGTCACGGCGGCGGCGCAAGAGCGACGGGGCTGGCGAGTCGTGGGGGCACCCGCCGCACGTACGGCAGAGGGCGGCAGCTCCGCGGGCGTGGCGTTGGTCACACCGCGATGCCTGAGCCTCAGCTTGGCGCCAGGACAGGATTCGTGGGACATCTCCCCCGCGGGCGCCGCAGGCAGGCTGTGCCTGGGCATGACCGAGGTCAAGGGCATTGGTTGGGTGGCCTTTTTCTCGGTGTACCTGTTCACGGGCAAGCCTGTCACCTGGGCCTTGAACGCTGCCTTGCTGGATACCATCGTGCACTGGGTCTGCCAGATGAGGATCCCCTGGATGGCCATGGGTGACTTCAACAATGAGCCGCACGCCATTCTCAACAGCCCCTGGAACCAGGAGGCCAATGGCCAGGTCTTGGCCTGGCAAGGGGAAGGTGGAACGTGCAGGTCCAAGGTGGTAAAGCAGGGTGCGGAGGAGTTCAAGGATCGGGTCATCGACTTCTTCTGGATGGACGCGAGGCTGGCCGTGATTTTCTGCCCTGTGAAGTCCTTCGAGAACATGCCCTACAGGCCGCACAGGCCGACTTGGATCCGCGCCGACAAACCTTGGCACGCATACCAGATCCAGGTCCTCAAGGGCCCGAAGCAGCACCCAATCACGAGGCCACCTCCTGTCAGGCAGCCCGAGATCCCGCAGAGTTACCCCGTGCCCGACCTGCTACACGGCTCGCAGCGGCACCTGGACCAGTGCTGGTTGGATTTTTGCTCTGCGGCTGAGGCCGAGCTTCGATCGCTGTTCGGATGGACAGAGTCGGAGGCACGCAGGTATGAGGGCCGAGGCTTGACTCCCGAGGTGGTGCATAGTCAGCTTCTCCCGAAGCATGACAGCCCAGTGGCTGATCGAGGCCCAGCCAGGGCCTGGCGTTGGGCCGCGGGGGAACTGGCCTGGATTGGCCAACTCGTCTGCTGCGTCTTGCGGGGACAGTCGGCGCCCAAGGCCAAGTCGGAGGCCCTTGCGGGCCAGTTTTCCACCTCGGGGGGAGGGCCTCCTCGGACCTACAACGAGGAGGTCGCAGGCCAGCTCAGGCGAGCCTGGAGGAAGCTGTTCCAGGCGAGACACCACTGGGACCAGCTGGGGCTCTGGAGCGTGGGGATGCTGTCCACTCTGCGCGCTATCGCAGACGTGGAGCCCCACATCATCGGTGCCCAGGCCATCCTCGCGCTGCAGCAGTTCGCCAAGAAGCGGGCCCAGTCCTGGGAGCAGCACCTCATGCGGCAGCGCTCCAAGCGATTCTATGAGCGCCTGAGCGCGAAGTTCCCTGGCTCGGGGGGCTGTCTGCATCGCATCTGCCACTGGAAGCAGGCGTGGAAGGAGCCCATCTCGTCGGCCAAGAAGCTGAAGCTGCCTGCTGACCCGCAGCTCGCGGTCACTCAGGAGGCGCAGGAGTGGGCTAGCATTTGGCGCGCTGGGTCAGGTGACTACACCAAGTTGTGGCAGGACACTCAGGTCCAGCCACAACGGATGGCCCACGCGCAGATGCTGCCTGCCATCGACGCGGTGCAGGTGCGCACCATATGCCGCAGCTACAAATGGAAGACTGGGCTTGGGATTGACGGCTGGCATTTTGGGCACCTGGCCTGGCTCAGCGACGAGGCCTTGAAGTGCCTCGGGGACATCCTCATGCTGTGCGAGCGGCTCTGCTCGTGGCCTACGTCCATACGCATGCTCATCCTTTTCCTGGTGGCCAAGGAGGACGGTGGCGGCAGGCCCATCTTCCTGTTTCCCACGCCAGTGCGCATCTGGGAGGCTGTTCGGGACCCCTCGGTTCGCCAGTGGGAGCGGACCCACGTGAGGCCATACGACTGGGCATCACCAGGGCGTAGCAGTGAGCATGCGGTCTGGAGAGCGATGTTGGATGACGGGGCCTTGGAAGGTACCTGTTTCGCATCTATCACCGCCTTGATGGATTTGGAGAAGGCCTATGAATATGTGGCGCTCAATTTGATTTGGATTCTCGGCATGGTGCAGCAAGCGCCCATGAGCGTGTTGGCCCTTTTCCTGGAGTCGTACGCCTTCCCTCGAGCGGTACGTAAGGGCCAGGCCGTCGCCGACCTCATCTGCACCCATGTTGGTTTGCCCGCTGGATCGAAGTACGCCAATCGCTTCCTGAAGATGGTGCTGTATCCTATCCTGGATGTCGTGGCCCGCTGGCCAGGGACCAAGCTGGAGATCACGAAGTTTGTTGACGACTTGGCGCTGCGTATGGTGGGCAGGAGCGTACAGTTGAGGGCGATCTTTCCCGACCTGGCCCGCACTCTCATCCACCTTCTGGAGTCGCTGCTTCAGCTAAAGGTCTCGAAGGGTGTGAGAGGCAAGTCTAAGTTCGTCTCCAGCGACGGCTCTTTGGCACAGGAGCTGACACAGGCCATGGCGGACATCGGCCTACAGCACGGTGAGAGCGAGCGCTGGTTGGGAGTTGACTACCAACCTCAGGGCCCTCGGAAGAGGGCCACCAGATCCAGACGGGCCCAGACGGCCCGAGGCCGCTGGTGCAAGGCGGCGGCTCTCATGCGCAGAGGGGTGAGGGTGCGCCCTGTGGTGCAGCAAGGCCTCAAAGCGTCAGTGGCGTACGGGGCGACCTGTGCTGGCACCCCTCCCGCAGTCCTGAAGTTCGTCATGGCCAAGACAGCGGCCGTGCGCGCAGGGGCTGGGACCTTCCGCTCAGGCACCTTGGGCTGGGCGATTGCGCCGAGGACGGACGGCGCCGAGCAGCTCAGACTGGCCCCACTGCGGGCATGGATGCGCGAGGCCTGGGACCAGCCCGAGAGACGGAAGGAGATGGCGCACGCTTGGGGCCGCCAGTGGCCCAAGGTGCAGAGGGCTCTCGCCTATGGCCCAGCCAAGTTCGACGCCTGGAGGATGGTGCGTGGACCAGCTGCAGCTACCATTCTGACGGTACACGAGCTGGGCTGGCACATGGAGGACGCCTGGACCATCCTCGACGGCGCCCACGACAAGTGGGACATTCGCGAAGTCGCCCCCCTCGAGGTCCTACGTGCCGCAGAGAGGGCGATCGCGAAGAGGAAGCTCATGGACTGGGCGTTAGCGGATGAGATGCGCCAGCCGCTCCGACCCACCCCCTTCCTGCTGCCAGTCAAGCAGCTCATGCGCTCTAAGACCACGGAGACCTGGACGAGGCACCACATCAACAGTGCCAGGACGGTTGCGCTTGGGGGCTACCCCACGCAGATGGTGTGCTACGAGCGCGGCCAGGTCACCAGCCCGATGTGCCCATTGTGCGGCAAGAAAAAGGGCACCTCGATGCACGTGTATTTTCTCTGTGATGCAGACGTTTGCGTCACGATACGGGATGGCCTCACCGAGCCGACCCTCAAGAACAGTTTTCGGGACGTGGTATATTTGGGCGAGATGGCCGCCACGAAGGAGGAGCAGGGCTGCAGAGGCGGCGACACGCTCTTCTGGAAATGGGCTCGCGGCCTGGTCGCAGACCCCGTCGCCGAGTACCAGGTGCCCACGCCGCCCGACGAGTACCAGTGGGGAGATCCCGACGGCGAGATGGTGCTGCCGGGCTGGGCGGCCACGGACGGACGCGTCCTGTCCCCCGATGTGGAGGAGATATCCACGGCAGGCTTTGCCGCCATCACCTGGTGCGATGAAAAGAAGAGTGAGATCCAGTCTTTGTTCGGTGCAGTGCCTGTCGCGAGGCCCACATCGGCCCATTGTGAGATTTGGGCTGTGTATCAGGCTGTGAAGCACTCTGTAGGGCTCGTAGGGCTCCTTTTGGACAGCAAGCAGGTTGTTCAGGGGCTCTTGGCTGGCAAAGATTTGTGTGTGAACAGCGAGCAGATAACCGCGCACCTCTGGAAGCTTGTTTGGGATGCCCTGGAAGATCAGGGCCTCGTCCCAGGTGAGTCCCTTCAAGTTGTCAAGATTAAGTCTCACATGACCAAGGCCCAAAGGGCCTGTCTGTCGGGTGAGAGTCTCATGCATTATGATATGAATAGGTGTGCGGATGCCCGTGCTAGAGAAGGAGCTGACCACTATGCCGCCCCGAAGTGGAAGGTGGACCAGGTCCAGCAGTGTCTAAAGTTTCAGAAAAGGCTGCTGCAGTATGCGGCGTCTTTCAGGGTAGATCTTAGTGAAGCCAAAGCTACCACCACGAGCCTCCCGTCGCCTGCTGGTCGGACTCGGAGGGGTGAACGTGTCGCCCGCCCCATGGCAGTCGCGCCCGAGCGGGCCCACCGTTTCAGGCTCCTCGAAGGTGGTAAGTGGCAGTGTTTGCAGTGCTCTCGCCTCGTCCGTGTGGCCGCTCGTCTCAGCTTGGCCAAGCGGGAGTTGTGCCCTGGATGGGGGGGAGCCATTTCTAAAGGTAGGGTCCGTTTGAAAGTCAAGGCCCTTGTCCACGGCGATTGTGTGACGGACCAGATCCGAGCTGCTGCGGCTGAGAGGGCCGCGGAAGCCAGGGGGTCTGGGTCCCAGGTCTCACCCCCACCCCCACCTCGGGAACACGAAGTGGTCGAAATGGTGGGGTATGCCGTGTGCCGAATGTGTGGGGCTTTCGCCCGCTCCCGAGCCCAGAAGCTGCTGCGGGAATGCGAGGGCCCGTTGACGAAGGGTATTGCCGCCCATCGGTGGCGGAGGCTCTATCGTGACCGTATCCTGGACGGTAAGAACCCGTACACGGGAAAGCCCGTGCGCGAGCAGGATTGATTTGTTTGGCCGTGGTGATGTGTGGTCCAGAGGCCCATCCCCAAGAGCCCCCCAGTCAAAAGAGGAGGAGGAGGAGGAGGAGGAGGAGGAGGAGGAGGAGGAGGAGGAGGAGGAGGAGGAGGTAGAGTAGGAGAAGGAGGAGGAGGGAGGAGGAGAGGAGGAGGAGGGAATATGAGGAGGAGGAGGAGGAGGAGGAGGAGGAGGATGAGGAGGAGGAGGAGGAGGGAGGAGGAGGAGGAGGGAGGGGGAGGAGGAGGAGGGGAGGAGGAGGAGGAGGAGAGGAGAGGGAGGAGGAGGAGGAGGAGGAGGAGGAGGAGGAGGAGGAGGGGAGGAGGGAGGAGGAGGGGGGGGGGAGGAGTAGGAGGAGGAGGAGGAGGAGGAGGAGGAGGAGGAGGAGGAGGAGGAGGAGGAGGACCATGACGAGGACGAAGGATATGGACGAGAACGAGAGGACGATGAGGCGGGGGATGAGGAGGAGGAGGGGAAACAGGAGGGAGAGGAGGAGTAGGAGGAGGACGAGGACTTCGACGAGGAGGGGGACGAGGACGAGGACGAGGAGGACGAGGAGGATCATGACGAGGGCGAGACGGCGACTTGCATATCTCGGGTGAGTTTCTTGGGTGTCTTGGGGGGCGGCTCAGGGGGCCTCTTGGGTGCCTTTCGGATGCCTCGTGGAGGCCTCTTGGGGCTTCTTGGGGCGCTCTTGGAGCTCTCTTGGGGGCCTCTTGGGGGCCGTGGAGGGCCTTTTGGTGCCATCTTGAAGGCGGTCGGTCAAAAGAGGGAGGGTCCTCGATGTCTGCCCCCCTCTCCGGGGCCACGATCTTTGTGAGGGGTGCCAAAAATTGGCCCTCCCACTGGCCGAAAAAGGACCCTCTGACGCATCGGTCCCCCTCCCCAAAAAGACCCAGGGAGGGCCCCTCCCCGCAGGGAAGAGGGATTGTGGAAGAAAAAAGATCACCCTTAGACCACCTGTCGCCCAAAGGGCTGGTGGGATTTGTTGTAAGCCGCCTCAAAGTCAAATCTGTTGGAAAGGCTGGCAGAACTGAAGCATTGTGTGATCGGCAACACAAGGCATATTGTTGTGAGGCTGCCAGAGGAAATCCTGTTTGCCAGGCAGCCAGAATGTATTTCGTCATGCGTTTCGAGTCCTCCGCTGAACAAACTTCCGATGTTTCATCTGTTTCGTTATCCTTAACATGTATGTTCAAACGTTCCCTCTCTTTTTCTAAGAAGTGTTTTTCTTTCATTCGAGCAGGATTGTTCCCTCTGTCTTTCGAGGCGGTTATTACACACAACAAGATATCTTCTGAGGCGGGCTACGAACGGAAACCTTTTAGTGGCTGATTCTTTGTTGTAAAAAACTGATTCAGTTGGTACAGTACGAAAGATTTTATCTTGATGCCGATTACAAGGATTCCCGCTGTGGCGGGATGCAGACATGATTCTCGTTCTGGCGGGTTACAAATCAGTCTTTTTGCGGCGTGTTACGAAATACCCATACTTAGAACACCAACTGTAAGGCAGCCGCACAGGGAACCCAATGGTCAGAGCGCCATAGTTCAATTATTTGTCTTGCGTTTCTTGTCCGTTTGCCTTGGTTCTGGGAGGAGGGCTCCCTCCTCTGGGGCTATTCTTTTTGCGGCGGATTGCAAGAGGACCCGTTGTGCGGCGGGTTGCAACAGAATTTCTTTTTCATGGCCGGTCACAAAGTGTGTGTTTGGCCGCGGATCCTATTTTTTCTGTTGGGGGGTACAAAATTTGTTGTTTTTCGGTGGCGAATTGCAGAGGAGGCTCTCTGTGGCTTATTATGAAGTGATCTCGATCGAGGCCGACTGCAAAAAGGATTCCTATTGTTGCGGGTTGCGACACGGTTCTTTCCGCGACGGATTACACAATAATTTTTCTTGCTTGCGAGTTACAAAAGGATGCCTCCTGTGGCGAATTACCAAGGAAGGCTTCTTTTTGCGGCAGGCTCTACAAAACATGTCGTTGAGTGGCGGATTCCAGAAGCCCAGGTACTACAGCCCCAACTGTGGTGGGGGGTGGAGGTTGTGGTGGTGGCGCCGGCGGCAGTGAAGGCGGTGGTGACGAGATGGTGGAACGGCGGCGGGAGGAACGGAGGGAGGGAGGGGAGGACATGGGAGGGAAAGAGATGTGGTAGAGCTGGTGGTAGCTGTATACCACTGGCATCACTACCGCTCTCCAACAATCCATTCCCTCTCTCGCTCCCTCCCTTCCTCGCCCTTCGCCCCCCGCCATCACCCTCGCCACCACCACCGCCACCGCCAAAACCACCACCGCTGAAGAGAGGGATGGTATGATATCGAGGTTGATGATAATCAATATGGAAGGTGGTTGAGTAAGAGTTTTGAGGAGGTGCATGAAATTACGTAGTTGGCAAGGGCCAAATAGGTGACGATGAAGAGATGAGGGGGCCGTTCATAATCATAGTGAGCTGCGGCGGAGAGTAATGGGAACGATGTGGCCGGACAGTGGGAATTTGATCAGGGGGAGGACAGAGGAAGAAGGAAGTGCGAAGCATCGAACACAAGGCAACATGTATGTGATTTGGGGCGAGCATATGTATGTATGTGTATATATATATGTATATCTTTACACGCACGCATGCATGCATATATACATGTATCTACAAATACGTATACAAGCACACGCACACATTCTTCCTTCGCGGCAGGCTGGTCCAACGCAGTGAGAGCAATAGCGGGCGCACACACACAGTTTCTTCCAGCGGCGACGTGACGGTTCCGCTGCGAAGTGCTACACCGAATCGGCGGCGGCAGCAGAGCGCAGCAGCTGGCTCTGGCCGTGCGCGGTAGCAGCGCGCCTCTCGTATCGTTGCCACTGCAGGGCGTCGTTGCACATACTTGACATGACTAGCTGCCGGTGCACATGCATGCGTGCATGTATGCAGATGCGTGCGTGCATCCGCATCACGCGTGGGTGCATCTGCATGTATGCGCACATGCGTGCATGTATGCACATGTGCATGCATCACGCGTGCACGCACGGATGGTTGCATGCATACATATATTGCGTGAACCGGTGGAGCCGCCGAGTCGCGAATCTAGAGCCGGCGGCGAGCGAGAGGGAGAAGTGAGAACGAGAAGACCTTATCAGAAGGCGGCGGGACTTCTGAGAAAACCCTCGCGCCTTCCGAGAAGCACTTTGTGTCCTCAGGGAAAGCTCAGAGAACATGTCTCGGAGGGCCCCGGGGACTTCCGAGCCCTCTGAGAAGGCCCGCCCCTCCTCACTTCCCCCCCCGCGCACGCCGCCAGTAGAAGGCACCGCACGCGTCCCAGAGCCGGGCGAAAAAAGGGCGACAAAACAACGAGCCGAGGTGGAGGAGCGGAAGGGGGGGAGGAGGAGGAGGAGGAGGAGGAGGAGGAGGAGGAGGAGGAGGAGGAGGAGGAGGAGGAGGAGGAGGAGGAGGAGGAGGAGAAAGAGAAGGAGGAGGAGGAGGGGGAGGAGGAGGAGGAGGAGGAGGAGGAGGAGGAGGAGGAGGAGGAGGAGGAGGAGGAGGGGAGGAGGGGGAGGAGGAGGAGGAGGAGGAGGAGGAGGATGGGGAGCAAGAGATTGCCAGCCTGGAACGTATGCCTATCCCTGAGATCGGCACGCCAAAAGGCGATGGCAATCTTAGGGGTTCGCCATCAGAAAAGAAGGGGATCCCCAGGGATCCGGCGTCGCGGACGAGAGCCATGCCGTGCCAGGCTGGTAATCTCTTGTTCTCCATGATGGAGAACAAGAGATTACCAGCCTGGAGCATGTCCCCATCCCTATGCTGGGCACCTCCTCATCACGGTGCCAATCTCAGGGATGCCCTTATTTTTTGGAGGGCGGATCCCTGAGATTGTCATCGCCTCTGGGCGTGGCAATCTTAGGGATAAGGATACGTTCGAGGCTGGTAAATAGAGCCCCGAGCCCGAGCTGCACGGGGACGACGGGGGCCTCCCCGAGGTCCCCGTCCTGGCATCAGGGATCACCCAGCTGGGCGGTCCGGCCTTGATGCAGCTGCAGAGCAGGCCCGCGGAGTTACCCCCTGGTGTCCTGTGGACCTCCCAGCTCCGGTCCGCTCCCAGAGGGTCAGGGGCCCTGTCATTGCCAGTCGTCGGGCCTCGCCCCTCCCTCCCCGGCGCGCGGCCAGCGCGAGGGCGGCCGCGGGGCGCCGCGGGGCCGCCGAAGGGTCAGCGCCGGAGGCCCGGCGCGAGGGCCGCCGAGGCCGGGCGCCGCCGAGGGCCGCCGACGCCCCCTTCGGCGGCAGAGCTCTGCAGCTGGATCGATCTGCGACGGCCCCCGGGGGGCCCGCCGCTGGGCGAAGGCGCCCGCCGCGAGGAAAGCCCCAGGCGTAAGTCGGGCCCGTCCCTCTACAGGAGGAATGTTCAAGAATCGTCACAAAATGGTCTGGGGACGATTTTGTTGGCTCCTGCTGCCCATTTTGGGGGGCGTTTTTGGAGAAACTTTGATTTGTCGCTCAAAATCCCCCTGTGGGGGGGCACGCCCGACTTAAGCCCAGGCCCCAGCCGCCTCGGCGCGCCCCCTTCCTTTGATGCGCAGCTCGTCGCGTGCGCAAAGCGTCCGTGTGAGTGCGCTGCGCGTCGGCTCGGTGTGTCGGCCCACGCGCTGGCGACCGCGCCGCGTCGGGTCTACGTCTTCAGTCCACGTGTCGAGCTCCGCGAGAATGGGGACGAGGTGTGCTGGTCTGATTTCGTTGGGGCCGTGGTTGAGGCGCGGCTCGTTCTTGCTGCCCTTCTCGTGTGACAGCCTTCAAATCTGCGCCAGGGCCGCGAGCACTCACGAACGAAGGCGGCTCGAACGCCGTCTCTCGTAGAACTGAAGGTCTGGAGCGCACTCGTCTTGTCGGCATTAGCGGCTGAAATGTTTTCCCTCGTAAGAATTGAGGGCTGGAGCCCTAGCCGTGGGCGGCTGGAGCGCTTCCCTCCGCAAAAACTGTAGGCTGGAACGTACCAGTCTTATCGGCATGA